TTTTTAACAAAACGCTAGAGATAGTATAAATAAAAAAAACGCACAAATGTGCAAAGTACACAACCCCTAGCTGAAAAGAACAATCAACAGCTGAATACTGGGTGGACAGGTCATAAGACCGCATAGAGCCCGACTAGCAATGTTTGAAAACAAACTCAAAACACACCACACAAAGACTAAACGAAGACGACCCAATGGGGTAACGTGGAACGATTCCCAACAAAGTAATATGGAACGACCCCCAACGGAGTAATCTCACAGGGACCAATGACCCATACCAAGAATACGGACCTAAACAACACAAAACAACCAACACAGAAACAATCTAAGACAAACCCACAGAGGCCAACGGCCCATACCAAAGACCCAATTCATAGCAAACAACGAAAAACACAAAACTAAAAAATTTAAACAAAGACTCCCTCAACAATTCGAACTAGCAAGACCAAGTGGACTTAAGACGACCCAAGGTAGGTCCACAACTCAAGAAACCGACCCGAAACTGCGTAAACGCCTAGCTGAGACGGAAACTTGAGCCTTCAACCGCACCTGAAGGCCGACGCCCCTCCACCGACCTAGAGCTGATTTCACTACCTACACCACCAATGCTCCGAAAAACAACCAACACCACTAGCCGAATCTGGAAACACCGGTTCCCCCCGAACCCAGAATCAGAGGACAAGGGGAACAGGAGATCGAACGGCCCCCGAGCACAAGCAGTTGCGCACGACCGCCGGCTAGGTTCAATCAAAACTGAGGACAAGCAAACTCGCCACCCCACAACGCCGCTACACCGGAACCGGCCAATACCACTGGCCAGGACCTGCACACCGGCCTCCTCTCCGACCTCACACCAGGGAACAGAGAAAAAACGGGAGCAAGAAAGCGCCTCAGCTCCAACCACCCTACTCTGACCAGAACACCACGAGCCACTCCAGCCGCTCCTAGCCCCGACGACAACCTCTGCAAGAACCACCATAGATCGGGACCTCGGCAGACCGAGTCAGGAGTCCGGAGACGAAAACCTAGCCTCCCAAACCCCACTATCCATAGTGCCAGCGAGAGGTGTACGAACAAGTATGAGAGACACGGTGGGGGATGACCACCGGCAGAGCTGGTCAACCATTGAGGAGGCGCTCAAGCTTGCAGAGACGGAAAATTCAAGATTGTGGCGATTTTCGGGGAGAAAGAGAGAGAAGGGTTTGATTAATTAGATTACTAGTTTTGCTGTTGTTGAAGTCTTTGTTCTATTTTCTGAAAATTGTAGGATAACTCTTGGCTATTAGTGTATTTTTCTGTCTTGGTCTTTTTTTTCTTTTCTGTGCTGTCAGTTTTCTGTTAGGTTTGTGATTTTGATTAAGTGGTTGGATCACTACTAGTCACTCGGGCTTTTATTTTCGCTCATTGGTTTTTTTGTTTTTGTTTGTTTGTTTGTTTGTTTGTTTTTTTGGTGAGCTTAGCTTTGCTTTAGTGTACAACTGCTTGATGATGAGGCTATTGGAGCTCTTTTCTAATAACCGATTGCATCTAGGTTTGCTAATTTATTCTCTCTGTGGTATGTAAGGTTGTCCTTTGTTTTGTTTTTTAGAGTTGTTGTTGGTCTTGTTGGAGCTCTCTTGCCTTTGATCACATGTCTGCGCTTTTGGAGACACAGTTTGTTGTTTCAAGATTGAACGTCTGTTGTACTTTCTCGAACTTTTATTTATAATATTTGACGTTTGAGGGAATTTTATTTAGCTAATCGATGGTCTAAACTCAAACAAATTTGAACGACCCCGCTCCAAAAATTAACGACTTGTTTCAACCTTAAATTACATAATTGTATTAGTTTGAGATTTCGAACGACATTCTTAAGATTTT